GTGCTTTTTTCTCCGCGCTGTTGTCGCGCTGTGATGACGTCAGCTATGCGATTTCGTCGCGCGCCCTTTAGTCGAACGCGGTTTTGTGGTGGAACTGATTCTAGCTGGCAGTGAAGGGTGGGGAAGAGATTAATCTCAAGATCATTGAAAGGTGGAGTGCTTTAGATCTCAATACTCTCACTCCCCTTTTTAATAACTATATGAGGCTGCTTGGTGAGGTCATTGAATTTGCAGTTAGACAGTATAATATAGTAATAATATATAATATATATAATAATATAACAGTATAATACAGTAATAATACCCCTTTATATCCTTAATCCCAAGATAACCAAGTGATTCTGGGATGTATTCTGGAGGAAGCAGAGGTCTGAGTGGAGAGGAACAGAAGCTAACCTTGATAAAGATGGCTGGCTGTGGGTCTTTGGACCATTCAGGTCTCAAGATGGTCTATTTTTAATCCTAAATAAAGCTGTACTTCCCCATTCAGGACTAATATATAATTTGAGGGCCTCCTTGTACTCACGACCTCTTGCTCAAAGAGCAGATAGCAGCCATGATCCGGAGCGCCTTTGCTCGAATTCATTTTGTGTGCCAGTTCATTCCTGAACTGAGGTACTATAAGGATAGTTACCCATACTTTGGTCACCTCATGTTTGGATTATTGCAATGCCCTATGCAGGAGGCTGCCCTTGTAGACCAATGAGAAGCTGCAGCTGGTTCAGAATGCAGCACATTGGCAATTATGGACATGCCTTGGTATGCTCATGTAATACTATGCTTGGCGAGCTGCTTTAGTTTTCAGTATGCTTCCAGGTGTCCATTATCACCTGTGAGTCCTTCATGACATAGCCTCTGTCTGTCCCCTCCATTATTAGACAGACTCAACATGCTTTTCCAGGTTCCATTGATTAAACACTCACCTGATGGGGCCCAGGAAGCAAGGATCCTTTGTCATAGTGCCTGTCCTATAGAGCAGTGTTTCTCACCCTTGGAAACTTTAAGAGATGTGGACTTCAACTTCCAGAATTCCCTATCCAGCATTCTGCTGCACCACAGGGATGCCTTTGTTTCTTTTCTCTTGTGTCTAGGATCAAAAGCAGCCTCTGTGGCCTTTCAATGGATGTTCAGCAAGGCCTTGTTACAAATGTCTTCTTTCTTTTTTTGGCATCTTCTTTTCACAGGGGTGGATTTTCTTCTGAGCTCAAAGGACCAGGTGTTGCAATTGGTAGCCCTGGAGATGAACTCACAGCTGTGCCTGGAGACTTGCTCAGCCCTTGAATCCATGGGCCGGATGGTGGGGGCCCCAGGAAGCGAGACAGCACGCGCCTTGGTGGAGACAATGCTGCATCGTGCACAGTGCCACCTGATGGAGGGCAAACATGTGCTTGTGATTGGGGCCGGCGGATTCAGCAAAAAGTTCGTCTGGGAGGCTGCCAGGGACTACGGGCTAAAAGTAAGATGCGGAAACACAGACCTGTGCAGCCCTTCCAAGCTGCAGGATGGACTAGCTAGAGCAGCACCACCCCACAGTCCCTGTCAGTATCCCATCAATGTCATGGGCATCACCTAAACAGAGAGGGGAGTAAACCACAGACCCACGTTACCCATCAGAAGGGCTTGCTCATTTCACTTTTGCCCGTAAAGCTGAGGAGTTGGCCTGTCCCATTTCCAGCCTTGCCATCTCTCAGGAGCACTTCAAGTGGGGCGTTGGAGGGCCCAATCCAGAAGCAAGGTCCTGTTGGAAGAGTCACTGGGGATGGAAACAAGTTCTGCGGACTTCAGAGCTCCTTCCACCACTTCCTGTCTCCATGTAATAATGTTAGGATGCAAATATGGGGCAGGACAGATGAGCTAGCTGTGGAGATTGTGGATTCCCACTTTTCTCAAGAGCCATCCATTCCCCATTGTTATTTTGGCAAGGTTCCTAGTCTTCAGTAGCAGCATAAGAGGCAAAACCTGAAACTTCCTTTCATCACTCAGAATTCCCAGAATCACAGACAGCCTTGCCCCCATCTTTCTAAATATCTTTTTCCTGATTTTTCCAGATTCAGGATATAAGTACTGTCCCCTACAGTCTTATCAGACACTGGTGTCTTCCACCTGTAGAAGAGGTAGAAATGCAGTACAGAACTGTTACTGCACCAAGAAGAAGCCATCTTGGGTTTGCTAGTCTCAAAGCTCTTGTTTCCGAGACCTGCTTATCACTTGTGCAACTAACTGCCTGTTTAGAACCCGAAAGGAGGTCCTTCCAAATAAGTTGAATGGTGTATCAAAATTAGATGAGAGGATGCAGAGAATAGATCGGGGTGGGAAGATGACTGGAATGAAATGAAAACTTAACGGCAAGAGTAGAAGGATGCAGACAACTCAGCCAGAGCCAGATTTAGCCTCTGAAAGCTCATTCCATTGTCCCTGAAGGTTTCAAGTGCTTTTTAATGTCAGCTTATTCCTCTGCGACTGAAGGATGAATTTGCCCCTCTTGGAGCCTTGATCCATTCTCCAGTTTAGACCCTGAACTGAGCACAATGGCTACATGTGCCACACTCTTATCTCTACAGCTGCAGCCCTCAAAGTGGGGACGGTCAATATCCTATGCTTTATCCAAGTTCCTCCTGGAAAAATGGCTTGGCTCTGAAGTTATCCCCAGGCCTGATATCCTGTGTGTCCCTTGGGTTCACTGCTAAAAAGCCCCTGCAGTGAAAGAGATAATGTTGGCCCATCCCCACACCCTTGCTCTTAACTCACAAAACCCAACGCTGGCACGTCCCTGATCTAACCAGAGCCTAGTTAAAGAGTGGAAAATGAAAATGTGATTCCCTTGTTCACACAGCCCTTCCCATGCAAGCAACAGGGTCATCTTTGATTTCTCAAGACTGTGAACGCTTTTTAGCCAGCCTGCCTACCAACGTGGGTATTGCCTCAGCATTAATTCCTCCTCCCAACCCTAGAGGACAATGGAGCTCTTCCTTCTAAGCCCTGCTGCTGCAGAAACGGGGATCTAGAGAAAGCTCAGAAAGCTCAACCAGCTTGATGGAATGGAATGGTCAGTGGATTGGGGAAGCCTCTGTCTGTTGATAGCGCCTTCTTCTTAAGGGACTCCTGTATGGTCCCTGACCCCAAGGAGTTGGCCTTCTCTGATACTGTCTGTAGTGATGCATCTCTGATTTTTTTCCCCCTCCTTCTCTGCATCTCTGCCTTTCCCTCTTCCCCACCCTGTTACCACTCCCCTTTCCTTCTCTTCTTCTCTCATCTTTCCCATCCCCAGATCCACCTGGTGGAGACCGATCCCAACCATTTTGCCTCCCAGTTGGTGCACACCTTTATCCACTATGACACCACAGACCACACGAGGGATGAAGAGCATGCCCGGAAACTGCTGGGGCTTATTCAGGAGAGGGGGCTGCATCTGGATGGCTGCCTGTCCTACTGGGATGACTGTATGGTCTTGACAGCGCTGATCTGTGAAGGGCTGGGCCTGCGCTGCAGCTCCTCAACTGCCATGCGAGTGGCCAAGCAGAAAAGCCGCACTCACCAGCACTTGTTGCGGCGATGCAAGGAGGGGTCCCGTTGGTCCTCCGCGGCCCTCTATGCTGTGCCATGCTGCCACCTGGAGAGCCATGCGGATGTGGAGCGAGCCGCCAGCCACATTAATTTCCCAGGTGTCATGAAGCTGGAGTATGGGGCTGGAGCGGTAGGGGTAAAACTGGTAGAAGATGCCCAGCAATGTCATCTGCACTTTGACAAGATCACACAAGATCTAAAGGATGACTCGGATTATTTAGGCATTGGGTTGGGTTGGGGCAATAACATGCTATTGATGGAGTATGTCTCAGGCACTGAGCATGACGTAGATCTGGTGATATATGAGGGACGGATGCTGGGGGCATTTGTGTCTGATAATGGGCCCACCAGGGTGCCCAACTTTACAGAGACGGCAGCCTGCATGCCCACCTGCCTTCCCCCTGAGAGTGAAGCACAACTTATCCATGCTGCTTATCAGTGCTGCTTAGGTTGTGGTCTCACTAATGGTGTCTTCAATGTGGAGCTCAAGTTGACAGCTGCAGGCCCCAAACTTATTGAAATCAATCCTCGCATGGGGGGCTTCTACCTCCGTGATTGGATTCGGGAGATCTATGGAGTAGACATCATGCTAGCTTCTGTCATGGTTGCCTGTGGAGTGGCCCCAGTCCTGCCCACACCCTCCCGTCCCCGTACAAACCTAGTGGGAGTGATGTGCTTAGTGTCACAGCATCTCCAGGCTCTCAAATCCACAGCTAGCCTAGAGATACTTCAGGCCCTACATGAGCGTGGTGTCATCCGCCTCAACCTGCTTGAAGATGAGATCGTGTCTAAAGAATATGAGGAGCCTTATTGCAATGTGGCTTGTACCAGTTCTAGTCGCCATGAGGCCTGTGTCAAGCTACTAGGCATCTGCCAGGTGCTGGGCATTGACTCTCTGCATTACCCTGTTGCTTACTTTCTCTCTCACTTCAAATAGCCTTGGCGATTCAGCTCCCTCAAGTTGGAGCTGAACTTGCATGTGTGTGAGAAAGAGAGTGAGTGAGTGAGAGAGAGAGAGAGACTTGTCTATTCCTTCTAAATTATCCCTTCATTATTCCTAAGTTTTCACCAATGGAGTTTGCATTACACAAACTTCCTACTTACTAGTCTTTTTGAAGCTATCTTTGGGAAGTGCTCACACCTTGAAAGGATTCACTTCTTTTAGGAAAGGATTATAAACTATGAAGTCCTCCCCTTCTTCTACCCTCTGTGTGAGGATATTTTCTTCTATTTTATTTGTGCTTCTGAAGAATCGTCCTGGTCCCAGCCCCTGGTCTCTAAATTACTCCTGCACTGGGCCATAGATAATGTGAAGTTCTAGGGTCTTCATTTTCTCTTTCTTCCACTGAAAAGGGGAAGCTCCTTTAAGATACCCCCTCAAAGAGAGTCTATTGCATACTTCCAGAATCAATGGAAGAGAAAGCTTGGGTCAATTCTTTAGAGCAGGGGTGTCAAACTGATAGCTTATGGGCCGGATACTTCACACCTAGGCCACACCCACCCTGGCTCCACAAAGGCAAAAGCCGTTGCGATATGTCACATGATGTGATCGAGTTTGACACCTGTGCTTTAGATCCAATAGTTCATCAACAATATACTACAATAGAGGAGCAAGTATTTCCGAAAGCACAGTTTTTCCTGAAAGGAATCATTGTATGCAAACTCCATCCATATACAGGTGAGCATCTAAACACCAACCAACCCACTAAAAAAAAGGATGCAAACATACAATAACAGATGTTTAGCAATAGTATGTAAGATTCAACAAGATCTGCTAGCTCCGCATTTGTAAACTTTGCAAATATTAGTTTAGTGCCTTCTGATCCTTTTTAGAAGTTAACAAGGACAACTCTATTCTAATCAAACAAACATAAAATAATGAGGGCAATGGAACATCCTGTGGTGAATCTTCATATTCATAACTGATGCTGGGGAAAGCTACTATATATATATATACATACATATATTATTTGTCTTTGTAAGAGTAACATCTATAAACATCTTACCTCTGTAATGTGCCAAGAATTCCACAAAAGAATATTACTATAACAATATTTCCAAGCACATGACAATAATCTAATTGTAACATTTTCCGGTGAACGATTGCACCCCTAACTTCTAATAATCGACCTTCCATTGGAATTCCCAATGACCTTAAGGTCCTACAATATCGAGCAGCTATAATGCTAGCATTACAGAGTTTCTGCAATAATAAGCCGTAGTTTTGCTACCAATCTGAATTGTGAACACTATGCTTTGTGCATAATCCAAACATCCCCAAATATGTAATGATCCTTTAGTACACTAATAATATACTTTAGCATACTTCTAACCAGCATAAAGAGCAATGTGAAAAAAAGTGTAAATCTGTGCAACTGAAAAGCATTTCTGTCATTTTCATGGGGTTTTTTTTTACCACTTTCACAACAAATGGAAACTCAGGTGGCAACTGATTTGCCTGAGAAAATATTGAGAACATGAGATTTAAAATAACTAACAACTTGATCCTATTTGGATCAAAGAATTGGGAACTGGAAGTTTTAAGGTAGTCAGAGTTGGCTATCAGTGGGAGCATTAGTTAAGCATGTCATCTTAACTGGTTGGTGATTCTACCTACCTATTTTCCCATAACTTCTGTAATCAAGCAGGTATAATAGTTCCTCCCGAATAAAATGCCATGCAAAAATATCAAGACTCCTGGAGTGTTCTTTACAGCTGCACCACAGCTCATTCCCCACTTAGGAGTGGAGACAAGAAAAGCTGGTGAAGACTCACCAACAAACTAATGGGCGGGTGGGGAGAAGATTTCAATTAATTGTATAGAGATGACTTATGGTCTTGTTAGTTTCAAAGAGACTCCCAAGTGATCCGTTTTCCAGAATATTCCAGATTTTGGATTCACCACCATCTACGAAAATCTAACATTGACTCCAAGTCTTCATATCAGTTGTTCTCTTCCAACTCCATTGCCTTTAGCACTGACTTACATAGGAAATTTGATCTGGACTGGATTTCAACTCCTTCCCTCAGTCTGCAAAAGGGAAAATAGTTCTCCCTTTTGGAATCTTTGTCTTGACTGTTCTGCATATTCAGGGAGATACATCTGTTTCAACTATTTTTAACAGAAGGACTGAACTATAGGCAGGGAAAAGTTGATATTCTGTGAGAAGCTAAAGCAAACAGAAAAATGGTCATTTACAAGCACAGTCTCAATTCTGACCTACATAAACCTTAAGACTCGATCTTTTCAACTTTGGATGAAATATGACCTTTTCCAGACATACCATCTGAAACAAGCTTCATTCACAAGATCTATGCTAAGTATTTTCTGTTTCTTCTTATTGGTTCCACCAATAAGTGTTTATTAATTCTGAAGATACAAATTGCATCATGAAGTAAATCACGCTATGTGACAAGAATGCATAAGGCAAATTGAAAGAAATTGGAGAAACCTTAATTTGCATCAAGTTTTGTTCAAGGACCCACTCCACGTTGCCAGGGATTTGCAACATTTTGTCAGTGATGGAGGTTGCTAGGTAGTACAAGAAAAGCACTTGAGCAATGAATTGTTGGAAGGCAATAGAATGACAGCCTTAAACCAGAAGGGCGCATGTTGGCAATGGGAATGGCTGTGGAGGAAAAAAGTAAGAGCCAAGCAATTTCTATTTATTCATAGAAAATGTCTGAACTTTACACCCTCAGTAATTTCCTCCAGAATTCTTTGAAAATTTAAACTGTGGGGTCCTAGGGTACCCTTTCCAGAATGTCCGTCATTGGTTGTTTGCTGAGATTGTGAACAGAAACAGTGTTTACAATCTGAATGTCAAAATTTAACACTGTATCTTCCCCTCTTCTTTATATGCCATGGACCGCTATTTTGTATAGAGTCTAGCCATCACCTATCTTATCGTTGCTATATCAACTCGCAATACTTTGGGTTTCAGACGACATTCTGTTTCTGTCCTACTGGGAGGTGCCAGAGATTAAAATAGGAAACTTATGCATGCAAAGAAGATACCCAATATCACAATCATAGCCCTTTCAAAGATAGCATTTTCAGTTGCAAAATATGGATCTGGTTCTATGAGTTCAAGGATGGTGAAATTAAATTCTCTCCATTCAGAGTTTGAAATCATATCTAAGAGGAATAAGAGAAAATTTAAACTATTTCCTTGGGAGTTTTACTGCTCTAGTTAACTAAGCAAAATACTAAGTCAAACTCCTTGGTAGCTTTGCAAAAAACTTCAGCACTAACAAGAGCACTAACTTCTCTGATAGGCCCTCAGTGACCTCCTTTACCTACAAGGAAACCAAAAATAAAATGAAAGCAAGTTTTAAGGATGATGGTATCAACTGAAGTTAAAAAAACCCACTATGGATCCAAAATGATTAGCTGGGAACTAATTATTCTAACATAGAATAATGAGATTGAAGGGGCATTGAAGATCTTCTAGTCCTGCTTGAACAGGAGACCTTATACCATTCCAGTCAAATGGCTGTTCAATGTCGTCTTGAGAAACTCCAGTTCTGGAGTACCCACAGTTTCTGGCAATAAGTTGTATCTCTCTTTAATGATGTTCCACCCATTACTTCTTGTCCTGCTCTCAGATGTTTTGGAGAATATGTCAACCCCCCTGTTCTCCGTTAGAGTCCTTCAAGTACTAGAAGACTACCATCATGTTACTCCTAGTCCTGCTCTTCATTAAACTATTCTGTCAAACGTTCATCATACAATTTTGCAACTTTGCAACTTTAATAAGATTTGTATGCCGCCCACTCCCCAGGGACTCTGGGTGGCTAATACAGTTTAGCCTTCAGTCCCTTATTATCTTTGTTGCTCCTCTCTGTACTCTTTCTAGAATTTCAACATCTCTGTATCACAATTACCAGAACTGGACACAGTATTCCAGGTATAGTCTCACCAGGGCAGTATAAAGCAGCACTTCATCACTTCATGTGATCTTGATACTATTCCTCTGGTGATGCAGTCTAGGAAACATTATGAATACATAGTTATTCTTGGTTCATAATTTGGAAGTACCCAAGCAACAATCATTTGGTAAAATGAAGCCTGAAGAAATACAGAATTCTATGTAAGAGCTACCAGACTAGAATCTTTCAAATTGGGTTCTATGGAAGTATGGATCCAACCCCCTCTTAAATTCCATGGACTAAAGGCAATCCCACCTCCTTTCTCCATAGTAGATTAAGAAGAAGAAAAGATTTCTGTAAAATACAATAGAAAAGGTGGGGCTTGTCTGCTGACATTCAGAAGGTTCACATCTCTTGATCAAAAGTTCTGGAATGGGAGCTTTTGTTTGCTTGTATAACAAACAGGCTTTAAGGCTCAGGGGGGGTGGGGAATGAAACTCCTATCCAGATTATCTCTTTAAAAAAAGACCATATTACAAAATCTGTGATTGTAAAGCATCACTAACTAAAGAGTAAATTCTTTTAAATTCAATAAGACTTGGGTTTTCCAGAGTTAGCGATTTCAAGCATTATCCCGACAGGACAGGACAGGATGACAAGAGTGGGAAGGGACCTTGGAAGTCTTCTAGTCCAACCCCCTGCTCAGGCAGGAAACCCTATACCATTTCTGACAAATGTTTGCCCAGTCTCTTCTTAAAAATTCCCAGTGTTGGAGCATTTACAACTTCTGGAGGGAAGTTGTTCCACTGGTTAATTGTTCTGTCAGGAAATTTATCCTTAGTTCTGGATAACTTCTCTCCTTGATTAGTTTCCACCTTTTCTCCTTTCTTCGGGTGCTTTGGAAAATATGTTGATTCCCTCTTTTATGTGGCAACCCATTAGATATTGGAACACTGCTATCAAGTCACCCCTAATCCTTTTTTTCATTAAACTAGACATACCCAATTTCCCTAAGCATTTCTGTTGCTCTTCTATGCTGTTTCAAGAGTCTCAACATCTTTTTTACATCATGACAACCAAAACTGGATGAAGTATTTAAAGTGTCGCCTTTCCAAGGCATTATACACATCATTTTCCATGATCTTTATTCTATCACTCTGTTAAAATCAAGATCACAGGAATGAGTGGCTATTATATTCAGCTCTATCTATAGCAGTGGATGAATTGATCCTCTTGGTATTTTTTATTGTAAGAGATATTTGAGTTGCAGTAAAAAGCATTTCCAAAAAACATCACATCTTAATCGCAGCATATTACACTTGTAATAAGCCTTAGGAGCAAGTTAGATTCTTCCATCCTAGCAAGTCGACCAACCTATCCTTACATCTCCATAATACAATTACAAAAGTGCCTTAATCACAAAGGACTCTCAACAGTTATTATGGAGTGAACTTTATTTTATGTGTGCTTCTCAGCAGACAATGATAAAGGTAGTCCTTGACTTACAACCATGATTGAGCTTCAAATGTCTGTGACTAAATGAATGAGGACTACCTGTATTTTCTGATCACAGAGAGAAATCTAGAAATCCTATGTTTATCTAGCCAGTTAGGTGAGAGGCAGATGAATTATGTTTTAGACATCACCAACATATCCCTGAACATTCATAAAGAACATCTTAACATAGTCAGAAACGTTTAGAATGTCAAAACTCAGTACCCACATAAAAAGTCAACTTGTTTCATGTATTTGGTAACTACGGTAACTAGAATCAAAAGTTGAAAAAAGCTAAAAAGGGACTACTAGTTCCTTCTCTTTCGATTGCCAAGCATTTATGTAAATCAACAATTACATGCAAATATATACATTGTTTTGATTCCTCAGTATGCTGCATAATTTGTGGCTGAACATTTGTTTAATAATCTGTTCAAACACCCTTTGTTTTCCATCAGTTTATGCTATTTCTCCAAAATAGCACCTTCTGGTGTGTGGGGACTGTAACCCTAGAACACATGGTTTTGGGAGACACCTAATATAGTTATTGTACCATTTTGTCTTCAACTTGATATCTACATCTGGGACAAACTGTCTTTAGTGGTGTCATAAAAGAAATACTACCATCATAAGAAGAAAAATCATTAACATTCTTCAATATAGCCAGGTATTATTGCTAAGGCTGGGAAGATGTAGGCTCAGGAGAACCTTCAGCCATAGAAATTCACCCAGTAACTTGGGACAATAAGTCTTCTAACAAAGAGCTTTGGGAGAAATAAATGGAAGCTATATTTAGTGTACGTTGCCATCAGCTCTTGGCAGGACCGAAGTTTAATGACTAAGTAATAAATCCATGAAGAAGTCATACTGGGCAAAGTTATATGAGTTATACAGAAAGATAAACAAGGAGAGAAAATAAATGAATCTGTGACCTTGTTAGAAATGCTCAGATACCGATAGTAGCTTTCTTGCAAGGAAAGAGTATTGAATGAAAGGAGAAAATGGTTGTGTAAATGTACATTCTCCTGTCTGCTTTTGTGTATGGGAGTGAGAGCTGGATGTCAGAAGAAGTATGAAACACAGAGGAATGGTTGTTGAAGTGCACACAATAAAGCAAGAAAAAGAATGAGTAATCAATAAATGTGGATTGAATACCAGTCAGTAACCAGTAGAAAAGTAGTTTAAGATTGTTTGAATGTGCAGTATGAACAAGGGCAGATTTGCAGAACAAATATATGAAAAAGAGTGAATGGGTCTAATCAGGATGGATTTGATTTAAATCAACTCAATTTAAATAATATATTTATAATTTTTAAAGAGCAACTGTCATCTCTGACCGGCTGTTGAGTCACTGACAGTCCCAACAGAATATATAGCCTCATGCTATATAACTTATCTGCATTTCATGCTGAATAAATTATTAATGTATCTTAAATAGAAACCTTAGATTTTTACTCCAAGAGCAGTTTATTAAAATAAATTTGATACAAATAAAAAAAATCAGATTTAAATAAAACAAATCAGATTTAAATTTTAAAAATCCGATTTTTAAAAAATCATTGATTTTTATCTACCCTGGGTCTTAAGCAGGTGTTGTTGTTTTTTCCCCAAAATATGGCAGCTTCTAAGATGTGGCTGGAGAATTCTGGACATTAAAAATCCACACATCTTAAAGTTGCCATATTTGGAAAACACAGCTGTAGAGGAAAGTCTGAGGAAGTTATGGAAGTTATATATATAATGTGAAATATATATATATTTCACATGTATATAAAAGGTAAAGGAGTCTGTGGATTTTACTCTGCTAGTCGTTGCCGACTATATGGCATGTGTGTGTGTATAAATACCATCCCATATAGTTGGCAACGAGTATGACACACGCACACAAAATTATTTCATTAATTCATTCCAAGTCTGTAGCCACCCAGCTGAACCAACTGACCCTTGTATATATACACTCCTGTCCTTCCGTTTGCAGCGAAGGTTCATCCCGGCCAACCAGTTTTACACTAACATGCGACTCCACCTAAGCTTCCTTTTACCCGAAAGGTCAACCTCGCTTTCTCCCCTCCTCTCCTGTCAGGCAAGCCCGCTAGAGGTCGCCCGTGAGCTCAACCACACACAACCATCCGGCTCTCGCTCGCTGCGCCAAAACGACGGCATCGCTGGGCGGGGTAAAGGCGGTGACGAGGCAAAGGGGCGTGGCCCGGAAGTCCACGGGGCACTTGGGGAGCCCCCGATATGGCCGGCGTCTTCGACATCGACCTGGAAACGGAGGAAGGGAGCGACGGGGAGGAGCCTGAACTGGGGGCCTTGGTGAGGCGGGATGGAAGATGATAGAGGAAAAAGGGGTGGGTCCAGCCAGAGGAGAAGGGAAAAAGGGCGCAGGAGCCCAGCGCACAATTCCTAAGGACTTCAGTGGGGGTGACTCCCGAGTGGGACAGGGTTGGTGTGGGCAGACCTCGTTTATCCCCCGTGTTGCTGCTGCTCCTGATCATCTGCTCTGTGTCTCCCTCCTCCACCCCGCTTGTCTCTTTTAGGAAGTGGACCCCGATTTTCGTAGCAGTAGCTCAGAGTAAGTACCTTGCCAGCTCTAGGTTGTTTTGCTTCTTGGTGTCATCCCAGTCTGCCTTCTGAATTCTCCTGGGTTTCTTAAGTGGTGGATGCACCCACACACTATTGGAAAATAGGTTGGCAAGAAAGGGTGAAATTGTCGTGTCCCCCCCCCTCCAGTATGGGGTCAACAGCTACTTCTTCCATTCTTTTAAAATGGCTTCTTCTAACTTGCTCACCATGTGAGCAGGGCAACAATTCCCATCATCCCCATTCAGAATACTGTAGGGCTGGAGACAGTGGGACCTATCCTTGATCAAAGACAATCCACTGGGGAAAGAACTGCAGAATGCAAATTGTGTCAACCTAACATGTGATGAGATGTTTAGGTGCTGCATAAGCAAAGTGACGTCTCAGCATTTTGAGAGCGGAGATGTAAACATTTCAAGGGGACATGAAATGTCCTTGTTTCACTACAAATTGGCCTGGTTAGATTCCTGATGACAGCGATAAAGTCTGTTCCTTTGCTTCCCTGACTGTAAATTATCAGAACAAATCAAAGTGTCTGCCTTGCTGACTCAGAGACTGAGACCCCACTAATTCAGCATTGAGCTCCTAAAACTGTCATCTGCAGTAGTTCAAAGTCTGTGGGAGATACTCAGATCACAGCATGATGGTGATGGCATAAGTATTTTGCATTTACAGTGGATTTCTAACTGTTTCAACAAATGCATTCCTATTCCTTTATTGGGCATTTTGGCATCTGAACCAATCACCGCCACTGCCACCACCACCATTGTAGAATAGAGAACTGAATGGTCATCACAGTCTGTGCTAAAAGCAATTTCACTGACCCTTGAGTGTCTGGGAGTGTTATAAAATGGTGAATGTAGGCAAAGCTGGCTTAATCTTAATTAAAAAACACTCGTGCAAATTGAGGCATCTAGTTTCCACTTAAGCATCCAGATAGTCAGTTTTGTGTAGTGATTTAAAAAACTGGGAGAGTTGAGTTCTAGTCCTCCTATAGGCATGAAAAACCAACTAGGTGGCTTCAATTAACATTCTAATATTATTTTATCTGTTCATTTATAGCTCTGTAGATTGAACAAAACAAGCAGAATTTGCTTGCCACTTTGTGACTGACAGAGATCATGGTTTTGGTATAGATACTAGCAACCATAATTCCCCATGGGAATGTCACATTTAGCACAATGGTATCTGGAGTATTCTATAGTATCACATAGCTATAATAAATTTCCTTGATTTCTTTTTGGCTTTGATACTGATATAAATTAATATCAGTATCTTCCCCAATACTGTGCACATCCCATATCACATTATGGGGTCCTTGGCTCTCTACTAATAGCTGCAGGAATAGGCAGATATAGATAACTTTCTTTTCTTTGAATTTTAATTTATCCTAAGGTTCAGACTTGTACTTTCATAAAAGGCACAATGCAGTTGTGCTGCCACCTCTTCATCTTCTCTTCTTTTGATTTTCAAAAATTGGACCCTCCTCATTTCTGGAAACTCTCACACTTTTGCCTCGCTCTTCATTTATATGTTGTTGGGTTTTTGGGAGGCAGAGCGATATAGGATTAATCTCTTTCTTGTCTCCACAGTTTTGTGCCAGGTTATTATGAGGAAATTGAAATATCTGAAAGCAGCGTCAACAATGGCCCAGAACGCATTGGGCCCCACTGCTTTGAGCTACTACGTGTTTTGGGAAAGGGTGGTTATGGCAAGGTGAGAAATTCCTGAAGAGTGAGTATGTCGGCAGAGGGTTCAATCCTCAACCAACTGGGAGAAAAAAATCCTTTCTACTAGAAGAGCATAGTAGTTACATTAGCCTAGAATCTTGGGAAATAAATGTATTTGTTTCTGTATGGAAGAGCATTCATCTTGGAACTGCATATGCAGAGTCTGAAATGGTGCAGTTTAGACTGGATTGTCTCTTTGGGAGAAGTAAACTACTGCATTGTGAGAAACCATGCTGACTATCAGTGGAGAGCTGATGAAAGGCTTCGTAAAAGCCTTTAATTAATCAGAAGGCACTGCTATTAAAGCTTTCTAATCAGGAGTGTGAGAATATTATTCTGGATTGCCTTCACCCCATGCTGTTTAATGGTCTTGCTTGTTTTTAGGGTTTTTTTTTAAAGAGAGGCTGAGTGCACAATGTTAAAGAGTAGGGAAACCCAATGTTTGTGTTATTGGTATCTGATTTTCATAAAAGAGAAGACAGTTCTCTTTCCTCGCTCTTTCCTCTGCCGGATAGCTGTGTTCCTCACTTGAATATTTTGCTTACTGCTTCCATTTGTGTTTTAGGTGTTTCAAGTGCGGAAAGTACAAGGCACACATTCTGGGAAAATCTTTGCCATGAAAGTGTTAAAGAAAGTAAGTATCTATCTATCTACAGCTCTGTGTGCCTTGTTAAATATCTTTGTGAGACCATAATTCTCTCTGAATATCTCCTCCAGGCCAAGATTGCCTGTAATGCCAAGGACACAGCACACACAAAGGCTGAGAGAAATATTCTGGAGGCCATCAAACACCCATTCATAGTAGACCTCATCTATGCTTTCCAGACTGGTGGCAAGCTCTACCTCATCCTGGAATGTCTCAGTGGTATGGAAACGAAGCTTCACGGAAAGGAAACAATTGCAGTGGATTTGGCCAAAAACCTGGGACCTGATTCTTGTTCTGTGGTAGATTTTAGAGGTTGGGTCAGACGTTGCTGGAGAAGACTGATGATATCTCTTTGTGCTTTGCTTCATAGGAGGGGAACTCTTCATGCAGCTGGAACGGGAAGGCATCTTCCTGGAGGACACAGCCTGGTTAGTGAAAATGCTACCTAAGCTGAACTGGAATAGCCATGAAGATTGGTGTTCACCTTAGGTTTTGTCTCCTTACAAAGGAGGTACCATGGCCGGAAGTAAGGTGACAATGGAGGCAACTGGAAATCTTAGAGTAGAGTAAATCTCTCTGTACCTTGCATTCATTCAGAAACATCCACTGAGTCCTATCAAGGGATCCTATTCAAAGTGATTCAATTCCGCTTAGCTAAGGATGGGAAGACAGGCATGGGTCATTTCAGACATTTTTTGCAGGATGCTTTATGGATAAAGTCAATTTTATTTGGCTAGATCTGGGTGCTATCTAGCCAAAGACGGCAAGGGTGAGATCTAGCAATATTTTTCTGAATTCCTGTGAGCACATATAACCAGAAGAAGTGGCTCTAGTGCAGTGGTTCTCAATCTGTGGGTCGGGACCCCTTTGGGGGGGTCGAACGATCCTTTCACAGGGGTTGCCTAAGACCATCGGAAAACACATATTTTCGATGGTCTTAGGAACCGAGATACCAATTTTATGGTTGAGGGTCACCACAATATGAAGAACTGTATTAAAGGGTCGCGGCATTGGGAAGGTTGAGAACCACTGCTCTAGTGCTTTTTAGACAGATTTTTCACCTGGCCTTTTTCAAGTGGCCTGATGGGATGTGTATGTGGCTGGATGTGGGAAGTAGTTAATGCTTTTCTAAAAGATGGCGCAGTGCCATCCACCATAGCAATGTGATCATGTACTTTTTAAGAGACTATCTCTTGATCCAGTTGTATTGGACAATGTTTATGCAATTTCCATTTTTGGAAACTATTGTGGAGTGGTGTTGGCAAGTTAGCTACAGGTGGATTATCTGGATCCCTTGAAGTCAGACTTCAGGTCTAGATATGGCATGTAAACAGCATTGGTGCTTTAGTGGATAATCTTCATGGCAACACCCTGGTCTTATTACATCACTTGTCCTTAAGAGCTTGATGAGTTTGCTGCTATTTAGTGGTTGGTTTCAGTCAAAATGTGGGATGTTGCTTCCAAGACAGGTTCCGCAAAACTGAGTCTTCTTGTTAGTCAACATTTATACATAACCACAAGGAGAGGCCATCTGCCAGTTCATTGAAAGGTATCCTTGGTATGCTGATGAGACTCAATTCTTCCTTGCTATTCCTGGCTATAAGTGGCTATGGGTGAGGAGGTTATATCAAATAAATGTATGTAGATAATTTCTGCTGCATTTTGAAATGTACAAACAGTTGTTTTCAGATATGTAAAACATATCAGTTTTCAGATATGTAAAAGCAGTGTCCAAGTGCCAAGTGAGGAAGGCCGGGAGAAGTTGACTAATGAAAGAAGGTCCCTATTTAAATATATGGACAAATTTCCGCCTCCCTTCTCAGATTGCCCAGTCTCATAATTGCATGTGGCAGTTTGTGTTCTCCTACTGATTCTTCTGTAAATGCCCCCATCCTTTAATTAGAAGTTAGAGCTAGAAGTGGGAAGATAGGAGGAAATAAAGTGCAGATAAGCTTAAAATATTGAATTCCTGCAAAACACCACCTCCTTGAACATGCAGAATGTGTTCAAAAAAGATTTTAGGATTGTTAATCTCTGTTGTTTAAAATACTAGACGCCATTTGATCCTTCCTGTTTTCCCAAGTGGAAAGTAGATATTTTCATCTGAGTTCGAAAGTGCCAAATTTCATCTCAAGGTCTTTTTCTGACAGCTGAGTTCCTCAATTCTATAAATGGCTTAAAGTTGAAGACACCCCCCCCCCAAATCATTTCAGTGAAATCAGACTCTCACCACCAGCTTTCATTATGGGTTGTTGACCCCTTACAGATAAAGGAGGAAGCACCTTCTGAGAGCTATATGGATTGGTTGTGGTTAGGCTGTTGATCAGATCCCTTTTGTGTTCTGCCAGTTTCTATCTGAGTGAGATCATCCTGGCTCTTGGCCATCTCCACTTTAACGGCATCATTTACCGGGATCTTAAGCCAGAGAACATAATGCTAAACAGCCAAGGTAGGGAAAACGTCCTTGTTTACAGAGGGAAGGGTGGGAGGATGCATAATAATTTGAATGTCATCTGTACTACTCTGTGATCCCAACCGGGACTGTAACAGGACTTTGACATTCCAATTTCTTCTGCAGGGCACATTAAACTGACAGACTTCGGGCTTTGCAAGGAATCCATCCATGATGGTGCTGTCACCCACACCTTTTGTGGCACTATAGAATACATGTAGGTGATGAAGGCTCATGAGCACCTGTAGGGTACCTGTTCTGGATTAGTTTCAATTTGAGGTTAACTGGTTTAATCATTATGCGCTGATTTCTTTCTCTGCCCTCAATTCCAGGGCCCCAGAAATATTGATGCGCAGTGGCCACAATCGGGCTGTTGACTGGTGGAGCCTTGGTACCCTGATGTATGACATGCTCACAGGATCGGCAAGTCTGGCTTGTGCTGCTTTTGGAGGCAGGCAGAGGATGCAGTGGTGGGGAGGGAGGGAAGGAAGAATCGCCAATCAGTTGTTCTCACTGGATAACAGATAAACTATTGCAGAGATTCTCATGTTGAGGTCAGCTGGCTGTTGACAAAGGATAGTAGGAAGAATGCCCTATTATCCTAATCAACACACTACACAGTTTCTGACAAAAAGGCAACATAACTAGTACAAGCAGTACTAGATCTGCCAACTAAAACATTAACAGGGCTACTGAAGTGATACTTGGCTGTCTTGCTATCTCTTTTACTTGGCCCAGGCAAAAACCCACTGGCTGGACCTAGGGACAATGCTTATATTTTTCTTTGAATTGGCTGCCAATTTCTTTTGTCTATCTGTTGTTTCCCCTTACTTTCTCTCCCAACCTCTGCCTACTCTACTATCTACTGTTCCTTGAGTTTTCAGGATCATTTATCTTAAGCCCTTTGTGTTAATGCAGCCTCCATTTACCGCTGAAAACCGCAAAAAGACAATTGACAAAATCCTGAAAGGCAAGTTGATGTTTCCGCCCTACTTGACTTCAGATGCTCGGGATCTGCTCAGGAAGGTATAACTGTATATCACATAAGATTGGGCTACACTGGTTGGAATTTTGAATCTTCTTATTATATTATTAATTATTATAAAATTAATAACTGGCTTCTCCTCCCGGGTATTTTACTGTCGTTGTCAAGCAGTCTTCCCAATCCAGTGTTCCTTTTTCCAACATAGCTAAGGGCCATGTTGACCACAGATGATAAGAATCAAAGTCCAGCCTATTTGAAAGGCATCAGGTTTACGAAGGTTGCTGCAAACTACCCAGAGATTTCAGTAATCAGCATAATAAATGTAATAAAGAAGATTTCATTAATAAAGCCATAGGTTAACAATACCTGTATGAATTTCATCATTGAAAGCTAAGTTGGCTGGCTGATAAAACTATCCTCAAGGCATTCCATTCATATGTTCCTAGGAATATGTTTAATGCATTGACATCCACCAAAGAGAAGATCTGTACTGGGCATTATATTGGATTTTAGAGGGAAGAGAAGCTTAACACATGATTGGTAAATGCCACCCTTCACAGAATGACGATTCAGAATACAGAGTGTACCTGAGCAGCTTCCTTCCTATCACATCTTTCAGTGCATGATTTGCCATTCTTTTTCTTAAATGTGGGTACTTGCAAGTGCCCAGAATGCAGTGGTCACCTTTTCCTGAACTCAGAATAAACACAGCTGGTATTCTGTTTCCTTCTTTCCTATAAAAGTAAAGTTAGCTGCTGCTCTTTCCTTTTAGTGACCTATTTGTTTTATTACCCTCAGCTGAGAATGAGGAGGAAGCCCGGTCTCTCTCATCACCAATGCTCAGAAGAAGGAACCATTTACAGCACTAGAGTAGCCCTGCTCAGCTGATGTTCACCTACTTGCTCTATTTGGCCCAGGCTGAACAGAAAGAGGTAGCAGCCCAGTCGCCAAGCACATTGGATTACAAGTAGTCCTCACTTGCCGACTGCTTATTCAATGGCTCTTTGCAGTTATGACCCATCCTCAAAATTGCAGTCATCCCTGCAGTTACATGGTCACAATTTGAGCCACTTGGCAACTGGCCCACATTTTTAAAACAGGTGTAGCTCCTGTGGTCATGTGATTGCCCTTTGCGACCTTCACAGCTGGCTTCCCACAAGTAAAGTCAATGGGAAAGTCAGAAGTTGAAATCATGTGGTGTTGGGTTTAATAGTCGCAGCTTATTTGCTTCTGGACCACAGCCGGAACGGATGTCTTAAGTCAGATATGATTTTTTCACCTAGTATGGAGTTTCCAGTCCCATCCAGAGTTGGTGAGTGAGGACTACCTGTACTGAATGGCGCTCAAAGGTGGACTACAAAGAAGGATGGGGAGCCTCATTTCAGTGGAATGCAGTGGTGCCAATGACTTGCTTCTCTTGCCAGAATAGGAATGGGGCCTTTACTGTGAGGGCAGGGCTGGGTGAGAACCTCTGTGTGGAAAGAGATCCAGCCAAGCCAGTTCTGTGGTGAATAATATCCTGAATCAGGATGAAATGGAGGTTATTGTGAAGCTGTCCCAATGGAAAGTTTTGTACTCTTTAAGTTCTCAAAGAATTATTTTTCCTTTTGGCATTATCCAAATCAGTATTTCTTAAAACACACTTCTTTCCTTCCCTAGTTTCTCAAAAGGAACCCCAATCAACGAATCGGGGGTGGGCCAGGTGATGCTGGAGATGTGCAGGTAAAGTGGATTGGGGAGGGGCAGGTTTTCTTTGGATGAATCTTAAGAATTTGAAATTCTGAGGCGCTTTCTTCCCTTTTGACAAGCAAGTTAAATCTGAAGGTGATTTTGACTGCTGTAAGCACGGGGTTATCTTCTCGAAAGAAGGCAGGGTATCAGCACCTTGCACTGTTCTTTCTCTAAACCATAATTAAATGCTTAAAACAATTAAAGTTATTGCTCCCTTCAGCTGCAAGCTATGGGGTGGGGGGGGGGGGAGACGGAGAATTTTTTTGATATTACCATAGAAGTGAATATCAGTGCATTTTTAAGTGTAGAAGGTTCATAATTTTGTAGAAATTTGAGATTTGGAATATGAGAACTGTGAGGATTTTTCGTGTGTTTTAGATAGTATTGAATTCTTTATTTTCTCTTTTTAGAAACATCCATTCTTCCGACAAGTTAACTGGGATGACTTGTTGGCCAGGACAGTTGACCCACCATTCCGGCCATCTTTGGTAGAGCCACATCATCTCAGTCCTTCCTATTACTGCCTTTTCTCTACTTTATGGTCTTCTCCCCGACTGTAATAGGCCTTCTCTTGGTCTTGATGTGCAGCTTATATAACAGTGATGGGTAGCCTTTTGGTCCACGTGTGCTGAAAGCATGTGCCCGTGTGCGACAGCACATGTGCGCATGCCCACACTCATAATGCAGTGCACGTGTGACACACCCGTGGGCCCCACCCTATGCACATGTGACACCACCACCACCCCCGCACTACCCCAGCCACCCCGCACATGTGTGCTTGACGCCCCCTTCCCTGTGGCCCATTTTGGGCCTAGCAGGCCTCCCTGAAGCCTCCTGGGACCAAAAATGGGCTGTGGGGGGTGCACTACCCCCTGTGCATGCGCATGTACATGCGTCTCCCACGTGTGGCAGAGACCCGAAAATCATTGGGTAAATAATGTAAATTGGGATTGCATTACTGTTTGTTGCCAGTATAGTTTTGTGATGGAGCCATGACAAAGTTGCAGAAATTGAGTAGAATAGCTCAATTTAAGTTTCTTCCTTCTAATAAACTGCAGTGGGCATATTTATTTATTGTGCAAAGAAAAACCAAACAAGCTAATACCTGCCCACTTCACATGCTCCTTTGACTGTTTTACATCATCGTGCAGATCTTCATTACACTTTAATTTAAACATGTTCGATTCTACCCTCACTGTAGAATTCATTTATCTCCCTTTGGTAAGGACAACTGTATGATATCTAATCTCATTATATAGTATAGCTCCTTTACATCATGTGCTAACAACCCATACTTCTCCACAAAATTTCTGGAAAAAGAAAGGCCTTTCATTTGTGTAGATGTTAACATAGACTAGAATTCATCCATAATGAGAAAGGCTAAATGGTGATATGATGAGCTATCCAGAACATCTTTTTCCCTCCACAGCAATCAGAAGATGATGTCAGCCAATTTGATACCCGCTTCACTCGCCAGACACCTGTGGATAGTCCTGACGATGGCACTCTCAGCGAGAGTGCCAATCAGGCTTTTTTGGTAAGGAATAACCAGCTGGAACTATAGTGAGAAGAAAGAGGAGGTAGCAAAATCATTTTTTACACTCCTATTACGAAGCAGTGGGCTGAGCCTTCTTCATCCCAGATGCTCCTTTCCCTATGACTAACCTTTGGGGACCACATGCCAGCTGGGAATAAAACCAGTGCAAAAATTCAGTGGTGACTCTCAACTTTTTGAAAAAAAGTCTTAGATTGCAACCATTTGCTGCTTTGAAAAAAGATTTCTTAAGAGCTGGCTTGAGATCCCAAAGGTGTTTTTTCAAAAGGCAACTAGTTCAGAATGAAAGGAGCTGCTTGGATGAGAAGTGAAACATCTTCAAAGAAAACAAAGTCCAGTTGCCTTTTGAAAGGATAACCAGTACCTGGATGACTGAGAATCTCCATGGACACTGGTTTGGGACTTAACTCTTAACCCCCTTGCCAACTGCAGTCTTAAAGATTATCCTCTCCTAGCAAACAGGCAGATCAAAAATAAAAAGCATTTTAAAGCATATGTTTCATGCAAGGGAGTTGAAGGGAACCTAGGTGAATCCAGCAGGTGATTCTAACATTTGATGTAGAAATTAAATGGGGAACTTAGGCATTCCAGGTTATTGAACTACAACTTTCAGCAACCATTATTGGCCACATTAGCAGGAGTTGCTGAGAATTGTTGCTTGCAATGTTAAGAAGGCCACAAATTCCTCACTGTTGATCAAAAGAAAGAAAGAACATAATTGAACCCAGATCCTGAAATGAAATTATGACCATAGCAATACTGACCAGGTGTTCCTCCCTTAGGGATTTACCTACGTAGCTCCATCTGTGTTGGAAAGTATCAAGGAAGGGTTTTCCTTCCAGCCCAAGTTGCGATCTCCACGGCGACTCAACAGCAGCCCCCGCACACCTGTCAGGTAAATCTGGAGACAGAGTTCGGAGAAAGTCTAGATATTTGGGGCATGTTCCTCAAGGGGCTGACTGCAGGAAGGCTGTGGTGCCTACTGAGTCCTTGCTTCCCCATGGGAAATGCTGGCTCCAAGGGTATTGTTTGCTCTTCTGTCCAGATATCAGAGCCAGAAGCAAGACTTTAAATGACTTAACTCTAACCTGTGCTTGTTTTTGCAGCCCACTGAAGTTCTCACCCTTTGAGCCCTTCAAGCCAAGCACAACAGTAGAGTTAATGGAGCTGTCAGCAACTCCTCTTGGGCCTGTACTAGAAGTCACGGCTCCACTGCCCATCAAAACACCTTCAGGCACCAAAAAGAAGAAAGGCCGAGGACGGGCACGATAACTGGGGCAGCAAGGAAATCTCCGGATACGCATCATCAGGTGGAGCCCTGGAGTGGGGCAGTGGGTGGACTAGGTTGTGTCTATGGGACTTCAAGCCCGACTTGAAGTCTCATTTTCCCTTTCACTTCACAGGGCCACCTTTGCTCCCAGCGAGAAAGGGATATCTGATGTTGGTGCTTCCTTGATTTCAGGACTAACTCAGCCATGGTGCTTTTAGTTCAATCTACAGTAAATCTCAGAGGGAAGATAATAATTAGGGATGCACTAAAGGAGCTGCAAGGAGCAGAATTCTGCCTTATTATCACCCTAGGAACATTTGTCTGAGTGCATCTTGAAATTTTGCAGAGAGGATAGTCAGAGGAAAAGCACATGCTCTGGCTTACATCGTGGCTGCTCTGGTTGAAAGCTCAGGACCTGCAAAGGAAACAAAGCAACTCTGAGAAAGTGGAAGGAGGGATCAGGCTGCTTCTTCTGGGTGAAGCTTCTTTATCTGTCTTCTTTTTCCACCATGCATCCATTTGCCAAAAATGATCCCTTCTTCAGTGGTGGTTGTAGCAAGATAAGGACTGCTGTTGACCGTCTCTGAAATACTGGTGTCCTTAGCCACAAATGAATCTTCGCAGATGGCACGGTGTCATGCCTGGCTCATATTCAGAAAAATGAGGGTTGTGCTGCATAGAAAAGTTGGTTGGTTTTAGGAATTGCTGCAGAGAGAAATACTAAGCAAAGAGAGCTAGGGTGTTTTGCTTTGTTTTTGCCAGCCCAATTACAAAATCAACTATTGAGGTACAGCGACTGGTTCTCTGCTTTATTATTACAGGGAATATGCCTTTTTTTGTTTTGTTTTTTGGAGAGCAAGCTTTTTGGAACAGGTTAGAAAGAAGCAAATTCAACCGTACAAACAGTGCTGCTCCCCGGTGGAAGCAGTGTACAAAGCAGAGTGACAGGAGTCTTGGGTTTCCCATATGTGAATCTGGTACCCAAGCATTAGAAGCTTGTTTGTGACAAGTCCACCCTTCCCTCCTCCCCTGGGATTTCTAGAGAGCGGTGACACTCAGTGATTTGCCACTGTCTTCCCAGGATGCTGTTCCAGAGAAGGAATGCAGACGACTCAATAGAACCTCTGCGCTGCCCTGGGCTGCCTTTGATGCCTCATCTTCTTCCAAGGCCACCTCCACTACTGCCTCTTGATTGGCTTCCTTAGTCAGCTTCTCTTCTTCCTCCTGGAGGAACTGCTGCTGCTTCTCCTCCTCTTCCATCTCCTCCTCCTCTTCTTCTTCTTCTTCTTCCTCCTCTTCTCCATCCTCCTCATGCTGTCTTTGCTCTTCTTCAAGCTCTCCATCGCTCTGTTGCTCATCCTGGTAGTCCTCAGCCAGGTCCTCCGAAAGTCTCTCCCTCCAGAACTGTTGCCACCAAACAACCAGGCTTCTCATTAGGTGCCGAGGATGGTACCTTCCTTCTGTTTCCCGGTTCAAATAGAACCATGCTAAAAACAGCAGCAGCAGCAGCGCAAACAGCAGGCAGATGAGGATATTCACTACGGCATCCCCATTGTTTTCCCCGCCACTCTCTGGATTCTCCGCCTGGATTTTCCCAGGAAGTAACAATAAGAGGGCACAGGGAAGTCTGAGCTTCTGTAAAAAGAAGAGAGTCTGGATTAGTCACGATCCTAGCTTCTTTGGACACTTCCATGTAGCCGCCTGACTTGCTCCTCAAATCTTCAACAGGAGCCTCCCTGTGCTTCACTGTGTCTCTATGGGGAGATTCCCAGAGCTCCTTCTAACTGGCCATTGGTGCCTGACAAACTAGCTCCTCCTGGCCCACCCTCATTCTTCTCATGCCATGAAACCAAAGTCAGCCTCTCCTTGGGAAGCATAAGATGGTGGGGCAATGCGCCGTGGTACATTGGGTAGAGGGAAAGGGACATCCCAAGAAATGGAAGGCAGGATAAGGAAGGAGATGCAATCAATGGGAAATCAGCTGCCCCGTAAATCTAGAGGAGACGATGCACAGCTGCCACGGCAATGTTTTCCCCATAGCACCTACTGAGCCTATAAGCCTCCCCCATATGGGGTGAGGACAAAAGGGACTAGCACGAATCTCAGATCAGCACAGCCCTTGTGTGTGAAAGGGCCATTTGCTGTATTCAGCCCATGAAGCAATCCTGTAGCTATGGAATCTTGGAATTCTATCCTAGAAATTTTAAGTTGCATAATAATTGGCCTCCACTACAATTTGTTAGGGAAAGCATGGACAAAGATGGATTGGAAGTATCTTACAATCGCTCAGGAACTATTTAAACTTTACCTGTTAACTAGTTAGCTACTGCCCTACAATGACTTGTATTTTTTAAATAGTACAAAGAGTTTCACCTCTTTTACGGTCTATGTTAGATAGTAGGGTAGTTCTGATGTTAGGCACTTTGCAGCATTGCCGCAGTCTCACAACTCATAAGATGCATGCTTCCTGCTATAACAATAGCATGAGGGAGAGAGAATGATTTAAGATTTTGTCCTTGCACAAGTTCTACCTTTGTGGTTATTTCTGAAGATAAAGACCCATCCACATAATACTCAGGGCTAAATATACTCTGCACTTAAAAAAAAGGAGATTATGTACCCAGAGAAACCTTAAGGTTTTAGAAAGAAATGCACATGCGTATTATTTTTTACACATCGTTCTGCTATTTTTAAATAATTCTGGATTGTGTAATTGAAAGAACTAGGAGGTAAGAACCTCTGAAGTCTCCCATCTGGCAATCTTCAGCTACTGGTTTGCTCTTGCAAACTCTGCTAATATTGCCCAAATACTTTATTTCTTCCAGCTCTCTTGTGACTAAATGTCTGCTAACAGTGTGTTACTTTAAAAATAAATGCTGACAGCCTCAGCATTTGTGCTCAAAGCGAATGGGTTTTTCTACCTGGAAAAACGGGAAATCAGCAGAAATCTCAACCTTTGTTTCAGAAGATAGGAAATATGTCTGTTGCAGCAGAGGCGTGGCCAAACTTTTGGCTTTCCTGGACTGCGCTGAGTGAAGAGGAATTGTCTTGGGCCATGTATGAAATATATAATATAGTTAATGTATATAAATAACAAACTTCCTTTATTATGGAGTTCTTGTGGGGGGGCCGCATTATAGCTGCTCAAGGGTGCATGTATCCTGTGAGCAGTGGGTTGGACATCCCTGTTGTAGCATCTCCACGAGACACTAAAAGGACGCTGCATTGCTGATTCTTATTCTCAATACTTAAACGTCTTCAAAAGAAGGGAAGATTATTTTTGCAAATACAGGTAGTCCTCAACTTACGACCACAATTGAGCCCAAAATTTCTGTTGCTAAGTGAGTATTTGTTAAGTGGATTTTGCCCCGTTTTACGATCTTTGTTGCCACAGTTAAGTGAATCATTGCACTTGTTAAGTTAGTAACACGGTTGTTAAGTGACTCTGGCTTCCCCATTGACTTTGCTTATCAGAAAGTCACAAAAGGGTGATTACATGAACCTGGGACACGGCAACCGTCATAAATATGAACCAGTTGCCAAGTGCCTGAATTTTGATCAAATGACCATGGGGAATGCTACAACTCTTGTAAGTGTGAAAAACGGTCATAAGTCACTTTTTTTCACTGCCGTTGTAACTTTGAACGGTCACTAAATGAACTGTAAGTTGAGGACAACCTGTAGTCCTGTCATACATTTAGACAAACTTTTCCTCTCACCTCAACAGGACAGATAATCTGGAAGGAGTTTAAACTGATTTAATGTATTACACTGTTAACATTTTCATTGGCTATTGCAAATATGGTTAATGGTTTAGTGCAGTGTTTCTCAACCTTGGCAACTTGAAGATGTCCGGGACTTCAACTCCCAGAATTCTGGGAGTTGAAGTCCCGGACATCTTCAAGTTGCCAAGGTTGAGAAACACTGGTTTAGTGTGTTGTGTGAACTCAGGATAATTGGAGTGCCGTTCAATAAACCTGGAATCCTCAATGTTGGGCCTCATCTGTGCCAATCCTTCTGCCAGCCTTTTTTTTTTCTTTTCTTTTAAAGAATCTGCAATAAATCATGTGGTCATCTGCATGGCTTTTATTTTTAAGGAGAATTCTTTGGTAGTTTGAAAAAATAAATAACTAAAATGTGTAGTAAGTAATTATGGCCTTGAACTTTTATTTTGAAATATACCTACCTGCACAGAAAAAAAAACCCGCCAGTGTTTAGTAGGGAGCAACCTCAAGAGATGGGGTAGTAAGAAGAAGCACTTGTTTATTGTGTGGGCTAGAATGATTGATTCTTGAGGAAGAAGCCATTGAAAAAAATAGAAATGTTCAGAAAGTGAGCTTGATGAGCAAGTAAATAAGATGGTTAGCAAGAGTTTTGTGATAAAGTTCAGATGTAGGAGATCATTAACAAATCCAGTAAATCGTGCAAAGAAGGGAAGAGCTGTTGGATGGAGTTAATGGAGCAGTTCTTCCTTATCTGCAATATCTGGCATATTTGTGTTCTACCTAAAAACCACAAAAATGTATGCTGCAAATGGAGACTCACAAGCTGTACTTGAGGGGGAAAGGATCAGAGCAAGAGCTTTTATCAGCTGATAAAAGAATGAAGATTTCTTGAGCCAAATCTAGGTAATCCACTTAAGACTGGATACACGTTGCAGAGTTACACAAGGAAGAGAGATAAGCAACAAGTAAAAAAAAAATCCTTTGGGTTTGTAAGGAAGAGACAAGCGCTTAAGATGAAAAAGTGGAGAACTGTAAAGAAGTAAGGATACAACTGCTACCTGTAGAAGGATCAATAGGGCAATTGTAATAATTTCTGACTCCCTGCTAAAAGGAATACACAATAATGTGTATTAGATCTGCTGGTTTAGAAAGTGTCCTGTTTCTCAGATGTGTAGTTGATGGATGTGACAAAGCTTATCATAGCCATTCAGGCATTCTCTCTTGATGCCGTCAAGAACAGTTAATTTATCTTGGACTTTGAAGCCATGGAAGAAAAGTGAAAAATTTGGGAGCACTGCTGGTTGTGTCATCCTTCCTTCCTATTCATAGAAGCAAAGTAGAAAGTGAAAATATACTGCCATTTGAATTACCAAAAATGAAAATGGTAACAGAAAAACATGATTCCTGAGAATATGGTTTATGAGATGCAGACAATAAATGGTTAGCATGAAATTATTTGCATTTTATAAAGACCGGGAAAAGTGTGTTTGAGCAAAGAATATCAAACTCAAACTGGAAGATGGAGGAAACCCAGAATAAGATTAATTGACAGAGTAACTTTAAGGGCCTATTAACCCACCAGTGAAAATGAAAAATCAGTTTATAAAATGCACAGCATTCATCATCTATATTCTAACAAACAGAATAACAGAGTTAGAAGAGACCTTGGAAATCTTCTGATCCAAACTCCTGCTGAGGCAGAAAAACCCTATACCGTTTCAGACAAATGGTTGTCCAATCTGTTCTTAAGAATCTCCAGTGTTACAGCACCTGCAAATTCTGGAGGCCACTCATTCCACTGATTAATTGTTCTCACTGTCAGAAAAAGGCAGTTTGTGGATGTCCACAATTGCCTTCCATTCCTGAGATAAAGTGCACAATGCTTTCCAAAAGCAAATTATTTGAGCTTTTGCAGAAGGGCAGATTTTAGTGAAATGTTAAGAAAGACTTAAAAAAACAACAAAGAGTAATGATAAGAGGAACCAAACAACCACGGAAGTAAACCTTTGTTTGGTATGCCCAAGGCAGGGGTGGGTTCCTGAACCAGTTAGTACCGGTTCTCTGT